CCCCCCCCCCCGCATTTCAACCCGCCTTTCCAAAAAAAACTATTATTTTTAAGCTAACTTAATTTGTAGTTTTGAGCCGCAAATACATTCCAAAAGAAATTCTGCGCTAAAGTTTTTTATCCAAATTTATTATTTATACAAAAACTACACAAAAATATTTTAAAGTTTTACGGCAAATTTGTTTTCGTGCAAAATCTATTATTTTTCAATATAAATTTTTGTTTGAAAACTGTCTCTGAAAGAACCCATAAAACTGTTGAGTAAGAACGACTTTTAGACTCAAGTTCTTACAATAAATTGTCCAATGAACTTGAATAAGTTGAACCACAACAATTGGGAAGGATACAAGGATACTTATTTAGTTGATTTTCAATCTACTGAGTCCGAATTTAATGAATTTGAACCGCGTCTCAAATCCGCCAAGAACTGGTTTTAATTCAGAGCCTGCTTAAATCTTGAAACATTGAATACAATTTTAAGTGGAACCAACCATATTTGAGCCGCGGCTCAAATTCCTTAAATTCGGCCTATGGTAAAGCGTTGTCCTTCATGTAATAAGATTGGTGAAATGTCGTCCAAATATTACACATTAATATTTTGTCCGTGTTTTAGAAGTGGTACACCTGAACTTGAGTTAGGAGATTGGAAAGAGAACAGGAAATACAGAGTTCTTGCAATTGATAATGGAATTCTTACTTTTAGGTTAATTTATACATCGTTTACTTCTTATTAAACTATTCCCTTTTTGGGAGTTCTTAATGTCTCTGGAAACAAACTTGAAATTACCTTTTTTTTACATATTTTGACATTTTTTTCCCATATTCTTGAGCTGTTTCCTTAAAGGCATACATAATAACCTTATATTTTTAAATGTTTTTTTTTCAGTGATAATATTGCTAAAGAGTGGCCTGTTGTTCTGGTTACTAATCCCAAACAATCCAAATTTATGGCGCCAGCTGTAGAAGCAGTTCAGAAAATCCGGGAATCCAAAGAAATTCGTATTCTTGCATTCAGTCCGTTTGGTGTTAGACATGTTCAAGTTAAAATCAATAGTGGTAGGTGGGAAACATGCAGTAAGCATAATTCGGTTCCAGACCTTTATACATTACCCTGGAACCCTGGAGACCTTACTTCAACTAAACAAACCCTTCAAGTTATCGTGGAGGACTATATTGGAAATAAGAAAACTCTTAACATGCAGTTCCAGACAAACTTCGATCAAATACCTGACGAATACAGTTTATATGCTCGGATGATTCTTATGAGCGATGTTTTATCCATTTTACAATTTGTATGGTTTGTGTCAATACTGGTGTCGATGCTGCCTCTATATTTAGGTGAGAATGTTTTTAATTTGCAATAATCAAATCATAATGTATTTATTTTTTCAGCTCGACGACATTCGTCATTATTGCGAGAAGTGTACAGTCTGCCAACGCGCACTAAAATGATGGAGTTGGCGGATTTTTCTCCGTTCTATTATCTTTACATGGGTGCCGCCATTTCGGTTGGGTTTGGTCCGTGGCACGTGGGACCAATACTGTCCGGGCATATAGGAATTATTTTTCCCTGGGGAATTCTTGTCGGAGGTATGTTAGTTTTTTATTTATAGTGGAACCTTTAAAACTGTGAATTAGAAGACGGCATTTTAGCTTTCTCATCTGTATTTGATGATAAAACAGTTTATCAGTAGCTTGAAATAGGTCTGTGTACATAGCTTCCTGTTCCACAGATGTACAGGTTCCACGGTAATAGAATTGTAATACTTAAGGGACTGTAGACATGATTTTAAAGTACACGCAATTGTACAGTCCTAATCACAAAGACATGGAATTTATTGATAATTATTAAGACGACTTTACAATCTTTGCAATAGTTCATGGTATTTATGCTCTAGTTTAGTTTTATTACAAATACGATCGATGAAACGATAATCACAAAATTGCCATTTCCAAAATGTGGTCTGCCTTTTTTGTGCATTCAAAATTACCAGAGATATGAAGAATTTTGGTAAGATTTCATTTTATTGAAAAACGAACATTTTCTATTTTCTTATGAAATCATTCATACCTCCTTTGATTTTGAAAGCACAGGAAAGGCAGACCACATTTTGAAATGGCAGGACTAGGACTATTTTGTGATTATCGTTTCCACAGTCGTCTTTGTAAAATCAGATTGACGCATGAATGCCGTGAACAATTGCAAAGATTGTAAAGTTGTCTAAATAATTGTCAATAAATTCCGAGTTTTTGTGATTATGACTGTTGTAAAATGGAAAAGTTTTATTGAAATTTGTAATCAGTTAAAGTTTTAAAAGCCGGGACATGCCCCTCTTTAAATGGATAATTACTTGAAAGCAAATAGATTATCAAGTACAATAGGTGGCAACAGAGAAATTAACCAATTATACACAACGTCACAAGTGTCAAATATAACAAGGAAAACGAAATTTTCTCACATTAGTTGACATGTTTTCCAAGATTAATATAAAAGTGTAAAAACAGAAACTAAAGAACACATAAAATTGCACTTATCTTACTGTAAGATACGCACTTTATTCTAAAATTATCACTATTATTGATGATTTTGTCAAACACAAAAACTGAGTTGACACTTGTGACGTTAGAATACAACTGTACTGAGAGTGTACAAATTCTACGTTGCCATCTATTGTACTATAATCTATTTGCTTGAAAGTACTTTAAAGTTTCATGAAAATATTTAAATTTTAGGTCAGATTCTACCCAGTTTCTATCCTCATGTATTCAGCTTCACGCATCTATTTCTATTTCACACTCCTCTCTTCTGGAGCCTTCTTTATAAGTATAAATGGAGGTATCAAAACAAAATATTATTCAATTTTATATAAAATATCAGTTTTGTTGCCCAAGTTCAATCTCTGTCGAAAAACTGAAAAATTAAACATCGCAATGAAAGTTTTTTTTTCATTACTTTTAATGCTTTTTATATGAGATTTCTTTGTACCTTACCAACCCAATATGGAATGTTCTTACACAAGCAAGTCAATATTTAAGTAATATATAATCTAAATTAAGAAATAAAAAAATCTGTTTTGGCAGCAAAAGTTGGATGACTGAAGAATAATCTAATTTTTGTAGAATATTCGCCATTTGCTGTTTGCTTTTACGCCACGCGATTTTTCATTTTAGGGTTGATGGAAACCAAAGCCGGGTTCTCCTTGCTCTATCTAACGTACCAGTTACTCTAGTTCTCAGTGCACAGGTTCTTAAAATTCACTTTAAATTCACTTTAAATTCACACTCAATTAGCAATTTTTAAGGAAGGGAGTACAAAATGTGTAAGCAAATACTTAGTTGAAGATGAGGATAGTTTTTTTACCATTTAGGGTGATCTTGCTTGCAGGGGGCTCCGCCAAAATCTGATTAGTTCAATCTATTTCAAAATTGTATACTCTAAAAGTTTGTTTTTGTTACATTATGTAAAATGTTGACTTAAACAAAAGATTGTGTAAACCAAGTTCAATAAGTGCGTTCTGAACCAGGAACTGAACTCGGATGAACTATCTGAACGAAGTTTTTATAGAAGGGGTTGAAGAACATACAATCATCCCTTACCTAACGTCTTGTAGGGCTCACATTTCGTTGGCAATGTTTAATTTTATCTGTTAGAATACGAGATAAGTTAGGGGTCAATGTTTGCATAATTTCATAAAACCAACCTTTTATTATGATGGACTGAGCAGATTAATTTGTGGAAGACTAGAAGTAGGATCGACAGCCCTAGGCCCTAGAAGTCTGGTTTAATTTGATTTAATTTGTGGAAACACCTAAAAGCCATAAAACCTTAAATGTTTTACAAATAGAGAAAATAGCTGTTTGAAAAAATTTGTCTTGCCTACTTTAGCTCCTCAGCCAATAAGCTGGCGTTTTCTGCTTATATATTTTTATAATTGTAAATGCTAACCACTACCCACAGTTTTCCCAACCCAGTCCTTTAAAATGATTTATATCCCATTGTAAACAATTTATTGTCTTTCTTTTTTAGGATAGTTTTTACTCTCACTCTTTCCTATTCCTCAGTATTATGGGGTAGAGGAACCCACAATACTGTCTAATACAGTGATAACTAGAAAACTCTGAAATAGGAATCAAGTTAAACCTTTAAAAGTTCAATGAGCACGAGACACAGCAATTGTGTACTGTGCAGTGTAAACAGACCCATTTCACTAAATTATTTCATAAATGTCAAGTAAAATTAGTATTTGTTTTGTAAAAACATAAAATACATGTAAGTATTGTTATAATGTTGTCTTCATACTCCATTGTTTTCTGGTTACCACTGTAGGAAAGGACGGAAGTCATTAGAAGCAATATCAATTATATTTCTTAATATTGTAGGCTATACTAGTGTTACTCCTATACTACTTCCCCTCCAGGCTGGGCATATTCCGGGAGATTGGTATTCTCATAGCTCCTATGCATGCATGCACTATACTTACTGGATTCATAGCTAATAGTCTAATAAGCTATTATATCACTCAACGTAGAAGAAAATAGGGTTATTTCTGGACCCCCTGCCCATAACACTGATGTACATCATTATACATGGTAATTTCTGGTCTTAGTGCCTCAGCAAGAACTAGCTGGGACCCAGCGCAGCTACTACGGCATGGAGGCCGAGCACTGTTGTTTGAACCAACTATCCCATAGACGTTAATTGTTTAATGTTAGGAGAGAGGCCCAGAAGTCGTGAGCTAGGAATAGAATTCTAGCATTCCTATCCCAAGTTACCCAACTTTTTAGATTTTCAATCTGCTTTGTATCTTACAGTTTTAGATTTCCAGCATTTCTAATCATAACTGCACAACTTCGTATTTTAAAAAGTTACATTTCCAAGTATGTTGTCTTTTAAAAGTTAAAATAAGACAGAAATATCATAGATGAAATATTATTTTAACTTTTATACATTTTTTCTTATTTATTTATATTAAATGTAATTGCATTATTTTATATAGATTGCTGTACCCTTGATATTAGTAAAATGTACAATTAGGTGTAATTATGTATGAATAATATGCAAATAAAAAGGAAAAAGAGGCACCGAAAGGCTTGGTGATACAAGTGGTCTGATATGAATATTAATGCTATAAAAGACGAGTCTTTCGTTAAATTCAAGTTATATTTATTATTTAGTGTGTTTCAAGTAGTCATTTTTTTGTGGGCAACACTTTGAAATAGAATGATTGAGATATTCTCTTTTCGTCTGAAAGTTAAGATCTTGCAATCTAATATGTATATTGTATATGATGTAGTGATCTGTGTTTAGAAATCCGAACTTAAGTTATGAACCCCTTGAGCGATTGGCCTAAAACTTATCTTGGCTCATAAATTCCAAGTCGACTGGTTTTTAATAAAGTAAAAATATTTTCCAGGCAAGCTAGCTTTCTTTTAATTGTTTGGTTACTCACACAGAGATGACACTTGTCACATGGAGTTTTTGTTTTCCTCCCGAAATAATTGTCTTATTGTATATATTTTTAATGCTTAAAGGGAGTGACCGGCTATGTAAGGTAGTAGAGCTGAGTATGCAGTGTCGTGGAAAACTTCTTTCAGATTCATTTGAGACATATTAAACTTTTTAAAGATCTGTAAATTCTGAGTTTGATTGCAAATTCGACGTTCAAAACTCCTACTTTGGGGGTGGATACGTTTTCAGAACACTATAGGTATTTTCATGAGATAAATAAAGTTTTTTTCTGAGAAGTTTCTTTAGTCGATTCCTTTGATCAACAGCCTATCAAATTCTTATGCAAAATGTTTATCTAGGAGTCAGAAATTACCAGTTATTTTCCATTTGTCCGATTTACAAGGGTATACCCACAGACAACACAGACTGCTTATCTCCTTTCACAGGGTGGGCTACATAGGCCCGAAGTTGACCCAGCACGACATGCTACGTTTTTGCGATAGGTTTTTAGAGTACCATCTCACGGCCACTCGTTGAACATAATACCCATTCAGGGGTTAAGTTTTACAACTTTTAAATTTTTAAACATGAAACATAAGATTTATGAATTCAGTCTTTTTTGAATACAGATGTTTGCTGATTGGTGGTGCACAGTATTTGTACAAAATAGAGCATGCTGTGGAAAATATGGCATATTTTGCCAGATAATCGATCTCTGTAACTCTCTTATCTCTAGGTTTACCCTTTACACATCTATCTGAGAAAAATATTACTGTTTTTCTAGCTTGGAAATCGTTCAGTTCTTACAATTTCCTCCATTGTTTCGGCAGCAGGTCTTTTAGTCACCTAATAACATTTTCAAACTTAAACGTTCCGTTTAATGCGACAATACAATCTGAAGATTTTATTAGTTAAATTATTTTTACTAGACTACATTTTTCAACTTTCTAGAACAATCCATAAACTTCCTCAGTCTCCATATCCAGATCAATATCGTAGAAACAGGGTCTGAAATATATATTTTATTAAATACATAATACAGGTTTACCCACTATAAGAATGAAACTTGTGAGAGAACTGAATAGAATTTTTGTTTCCTTATATCCTGCGACTGAAAATTGTTGCTTTTTGTGCCATCCAACGACTTAATTTAATCTTGAAACCATCCTATTAAAGAGTAGGTCGTCTTCACTGTCTCGAATTCTTTGTGAATAACTCTGTTGGTTAAAATATAAGTATATTAATACTAGGCTTTCAATGCTTTCAGGGCGCTAACTTGTAAAAGTTAAGTTTTCAAACATCGTAATTTAAATGCAACAATTTGTTCCTCTCTGGAGTCTGGACAACAATATAAAAAGCGATTTTCCGTAATTATTGGTGGATATTTTTTTGAGGCCAAATGGTATAACTTTTCGCGTTAATTAATCTTTCCTGGGTTAAAGTCCAACAGCTTAGAGGACTGAGTTCTTGTCACTAACTTGAATTTTCTTATTCCTATATCTTTGCATCCTGCACTGAAGACTTTGACCTTTAAATTCTGCTGGGACAAAATGTCCAGTTTGAAAAAGGTCTACGTCATCGGGTTTCAAAGATGTAGGATAAAAATCGTAGTTTGTGACCAGAACTCAATTTATTTGGGTCCGACTGTTGTAGCCATTGTGACATTATTGGATAAAACCAGACAGACCAAATAGATTCAGCCTGATTATAAAACCAGACAGACCAAATAGATTCAGCCTGATTATAAAACCAGACAGACCAAATAGATTCAGCCTGATTATAAAAAAAGTCACATTAATTTGTAAGACAGAGTCGACTCGTAAGTGTCGCAAAGCCTTAGGCTTTGATTTTACCGCTTAACACACATGCCTTTTTGATTTTATTTTAGCACTGTAAACCACTTATTTTTAGCTTTGGCTTTTAAGAAGTAATTGGATAAATTCTCACCAATTTTTGCTTGAGAGCTTGCAACCTTTAAGAGTGAGGCAAGCTAATTATATATTTGCTTCATGTACAAGAAAAGAAAATATATAAAGGCAGACATTATTACTAGAAATCCCAAACTTATTCATAATGGAAAATACAGACCAATATTGATCTAACAAAATATGAAATATAAGCAAAACATGATCTAACATGTCTATAGAAGTTCTGTTGACATACACTTCATATATATTTTACATTTTACTGTTGTACATGACAGTGAGAAACGACTTGTAATATTTGCGTAATTTATTCGTTACCCTGGAATTTCTGAAATGTGATCTGCAGCCTTTTTGTGATTTTCAAATTTCTGAAGATACAACTTTGGTTATTTTGCATTTTTAAAAAAAACAAATTGTTTAAATCTAAACGATATTCTTCATTTCCCATTCTTAGGTACTTTTGATAGCATTTTTGAAATGCCAGGAATAGGACTATTTTAAAATTTTTTTCATTGTAAAATTAGGTTTACTAACGAATGCCGCAAATTATTGCAAAGATCAAAGACGATCTTCAAGTTGTCTTCCACACCCTAGAGGGACCTACCTGGTTGATAATCCCGGCATAGTTGACATAGTTCCTACAAGAGGATACAAGAAACCAGCCCCGACTGAAGCCCGAATATCTCTACTCAAAAAGTTGATAAAAATTACAGTTTTTAATCTATTAAAGATCTGCTTTAATCAAATTAAACACAAATGATGAGACTCTTCCTTGACCTTTAGCCTGTAAAATGACGTAAGTGTCTAAAAGATTAGGATTTTAAAATGTTAATGATTTGAAAATTGCATTTTTATGATTTCCTTATGGGGATCGTGAATCCAGTTGGAGCCCCCTTCAGGGTAGAGTCAGCTGATAGCGAGAGATGAGTCTACATTTCCAAACCAAACTTAATCTTGAAAATTCACAGTTTTTTTTATTTTGTTAAAAAATTTTAATTTAGAAAATAAATTGTAAAAAGAATGCTAAACCAAACTTAATATTAGTTTGAGATAATGTGGGATATATGGGGGCTGTTTATACTGAACCAAACATAATCTTAGTTTGAGATAATATGGGATATATGGGAGCTGTTTGCTTAACCAAACTTAATATTAGTTTGAGATAATATGGGATATATTGGAGTTGTTTATACTGAACCAAACATAATCTTATTATGAAATAATATGGGATATATGGGAGATGATTTGTATGGTGTTTATCAACCCAAACTTAATTCTAATTCAAATTTAAGTAAAAATCAACAATTTTTATAATTGTTTTGAACATTTATGAAAAAGGTAGTTTTAAATAAATTTAATAATGTTAATTGACGGGGAAAAAAAACTAGAAAATAAAATACATTTTTTATCTCAACTTGGTTTGATTTTTTCCTTCGCCATACAGATTGGAAGGTTCTGAAATCCCTGAGCTGTATATCTCTCAATCTAACCAATCAAACAATTAAACAATTTAATTATTAATCTCCTAAAAGAACACCAGAAAACTGCAATTCTCATTACTTGAGGAATGTCATTAGGTTTTTCTTTAATTTACAATTGTAGCAACTGATTTAACTATAGTATATCCTACAACTGATTTAACTACAGTGTATCCTATATTAATGAAGATAATGAAAGAATTTGTATAATGTCGTCTTAAATATTCCGTGATTATTGCCGCCAAACCTTATGTAAACTAAAGGATTATAAAAGACCCCTCCAAACTGTCAAATGTTTCTGCTCGCAGCTAGAAAGAGATACGAGTATAGTTTACTAATTTCACTGTTTTCTGGGTCTCACTGTACATGCCCTTTTCGTTTATATTATAGAAAAGTTTAATTCAAGAAGGATATAAATTGATCCAAGTTATATCTTAAAATTCAACCAGCAACAGACATTAAATTAGAAAACAAAATAATTGGATTTCAAATACTTCTGCTCAGAGAACTAATATATTGGTATTTATAATTACGTCCTGTATAAATTAGCAAAGAAAACTTTAATGGTACGCGAGTAAATCATAGCGACCAGATTAGATAAAATAAAACTTCATTGGGACCCATACAACTGTGGAATGGGAAGACGAATTTTTAGCAATCTTTTGTGTTTTTGATTTTGCATGCTTTAAAGGAAATAGACCACACATGAAGAAATCAAGATATTCTCAACATTCCTATTTGGAAGATGGAGAATTACTTCACAAGGTCGATCAAGGTCAGTTTTACCAGTCACTTAAAAATCAACTTAGCTATAAAAAGTCACAATCCAATGACCGGAAGCAATCCAATGACCGGAAGTAGTTATGAATAGTAAATATACATATAAATATAAAAATTTAGTCGAGTAAAGGTAAAATAATGCATTCAGACAGTTTGCCTGAGAACTCAGGCACTTGGTATAAAAGCCCCGCTATAAGCCTAAAGTGGGGGGCATGTGTTAGTTACAAAAGTAAAAAAATTTGAACAGCTTCAGAACAATACATTTTGAATTATATCCAAAAAACGTCAGAAGGGACCCCTCCCCTCCCCCCTCTTGTTGGAATAGGGTTAAGTAAAAAAGGGGCATGGGTGAAGGTATACTACACAATTGCTGTGTTTCATGATTATTGGACTATTTGAAATCATAACTTTATTCGTCATCCTGGTCCATTGTTTTTTTAGGTCCCTTGACGGTATTTTACCTTAGTTCTAGCTTCCGGTAATATTTCTATATCCTTAGCACCATAGATCCTCTGGGCGATCGTTCTGATCTTCTCTTCTATGCTTAGATCAAGATCATACAAGAACTTAAACTCACTTTCAGCCTATAAATAAGAACTAGATCAATTGATGATATAAGAACTTAAACTCACTCTCAACCTAGAAATTAGAACTAGATCAATTGATCATACAAGAACTTAAACTCACTCTCAATAACCCTGAGACAGAAGCCCAAAGGAGTTCCAAGCAGGCAGCGTATAATTATACAAGACAAGGTTATTGAGAGTGAGTTTAAGTTCTTGTTAACTAAAAACCACTAAATCTTTAATAGATGACATCTAATGACCTATCTGTTATTTTGATTAATCTATGGCTCTATCCTCCTCCTAACATGTTTTTTGGCAAACTTGTGCATATATCTTTCTATATTAACTTAAATTGACCTGGAATCATATAATCCCACTAGGTTGCCCAACTAAATTTTTTGGTTTAAACACATATTAGCTACGTAAATAAATGGCATACATTTTAGTTTCCATACAAAAAACTGTGTGTAATAAAATTAAAATACCCTAATAAAAAAATACTTACTTGTATACTGAAATACTTATTCATATTTTTAGCACGTTATAAAACTTTAAAATTTTATGATTGCACTCAAATTGCAAATTTAGAAAGAAAATTATGAAAAGTTTGAAATTTGATGACTAGAAAAGTTTATACAAATTTCAAAATTGTAGGACTCCTGATCAAAGACCATCTAATAATTATGTTTTTTTGGACACCCTGTAATGAAACTTTTAAGGGGGGTAGCGACATGTTGCTTAACAGAATGGATATTGGAGAATAAGGGGAAAAGGAAAGGTTGATATAAAATCATTTTACTGTACCTTACAGGCTGCTTCTACAGCTATAGCTAATTCTCTGGCTCCTGCACCTCCCTCTGCCCAATGACGACACAGAACTGCATCAAATGCACCAGCACTCTGAAAAAAATACTCATTAGGCCTTAATCAAGAAAAAAATCTAAAATAAATGTATACCTTTGCTAGTTCAGCCATGAGTTCCAGTTCCGCTTGAGTATCTGTAAGAAAGACATTGATCGCCACAACAACAGGAACTCCAAACATTTTGGCATTTTCAATCTGCTTCCTAAGGTTGCAGAATCCAGCCTCTACTAATGGAAGGTTTTCTTCTGTATATTGTGGCTTTAGTGGGGTCCCGGGAACCACTGGGGGTCCACCACCATGCATCTTCAAAGCCCTTACTGTAGCAACAAGAACAACTGCATTGGGCACCAGTCCAGAATACCTGCACTTGATATTGAAGAACTTCTCCATCCCGATATCTGCTCCAAACCCGGCTTCAGTGACCACATACCCCTCCTCCCCCACCAACTTCAAGCTGATCTTGTCTGCCAGGATGGACGAGTTCCCATGGGCTATATTGGCAAAGGGTCCAGCATGAACAAAGACAGGTGTACCCTCAAGGGTCTGCATAAGGTTAGGACGGATGGCATCCTTCATGAGAACAACCAAAGCTCCTCCCAGTCCTAAATCATCTGTAGTGACAGGGTTTCCTTTCTTATCACTAGCGACCACCATAGAGCCCAAACGTTCTCGCATATCCTGAATTATTATGTTTACCCTTCTTTTAAACTTGAAAATGTAAAAGGTACTTTTAAAAGAGTATAACTATAATGGGGGAGTGCTGAATTTTTTTAGATTGACTGTGGCTATAGACTGCCCTAATTGATACAGACTCTCAATGTATTTTTAGGTCCATGTAACCATGGGGTCTGTTATTTAAAGTTGGTAGATGTAACATCAAGTTAAATTTTAAAGAAATCATTAGAGCTAAATTCTAAGACTTTAATAATATAAAAAATGGAAAAGATTAATTACCCTTAATGAAGTTGTGAGCGCCAGAACAGCCATTATCTCACTTGCAACTGTTATATCAAACTGAGTTTCCCTAGTAAATCCCTTCTCAGTAGGTGATTGGCCAATAGTAATTTTTCTCAGAAAACGATCATTTGTATCAATGACACGCTGCCAGGTTATCGTAGAGGCGTCTATATCCAACCTGGCAAACCTAGTGATCTCATCATCGGTTAACTGATCAGGGTCCCTGGTCTCAATCCCCAGCTTAACCAGGCGTCTGATCTGAATATCACTGAAGGTGCGAACTCCTTTCTTGGCTGGAACCAGGCGTCCATATAGGGCCTTAGAGTCCTGAGTAGCCTCATGGAACATTCTAAACGGAAAAAAATAGAAAAAAATTGTCCTAAACCCTGTACTTTACATAGTGTTTACCCCTAACCCCATTTGAGGCCTGTCACATGCAGCTTAACATATTTGCTAAGCTAAGTAGTTTAGTTATTTCTTAATTTAAAGTCTGAAACTGGGTTGTATAACATTTATATTTGTGTTGACTTGGCATTTATTTACCGTTGTTATTGCATGAATATCTCTGGTAAAACTAGTATAACTGCAGCATTATCAAAGCTGCCACAAGAGTGGTGGCTGCTGTTATTCCATGAATTTCTGTCGTTAAACTACTATACCTGGCATCAACCGAGCTGCCACAAGAGTTGTTACTGCTGTTATTCCATGAACTTCTGCCGTTAAACTACTATACCCGGCATCTATCCGAGCTGCCACAAGAGTGGTGGTTGCTGTTATTCCATGAATTTCTATGGTTAAACTACCATACCTGGCATCTATCCGAGCTGCCACAAGAGTGGTGGCTGCTGTTATTCCATGAACTTCTGCCGTTAAACTACTATACCTGGCATCTATTCGAGCTGCCACAAGAGTGGTGGCTGCTCTTATTCCATAAATTTCTGCCGTTAAACTACTATACCTGGCATCTATCTGAGCTGCTACAAGATTGACTCTATTGATATTGCATGAATTTCTGCAGTTAAACTACTGTACCTGGTATCTATCTGAGCTGCTGCAAGATTGACTGCTGCTATTTCAACATGAATATCTACGTTTAAACTACAGTGAAACCCTTAATAACGAATACATCGGAAGAATTTATCAAATGCCGTCTTGACCATTTTTCAATGAGTTTTATACTTTATTACGTAAATTTCAGTATTTGCGAAAATAAGTAAATAGCCATGAATATGCAGGAACAGTTTTAAAGAGTTCCATATAATCATTTTCCCCCTCCTGCTGCCCCTCCCTTGATTCCAAAGGTTGGCCCCTGGCTGGGTTGGCGAACACAAGCGAAAACATTTCTCCTGGAGCAAAACAATTCATTTTTCAGAATTTTTTTTTAAATTCTTGTGCACTGGATTTGAATTCATACAATTAATCTTTAACTTTGTAATGAATATTGATACTTTAACGGAATATAACAGAATAGGCCTTGTTAAAATTACAGTACTACCAAAAGTAAAGATAAAATATTTATCTATAATGCAGTTATAATGCTTGTTTGTATGCCAGATCATAACTCTTGAACCCATTATGAACAGATTTGCCTCAAATTTGTATCTGGGAACTTGGTAAGAATCACGGCAATTAATGTTCTACGCTTAGTTTAAAAAATCTAAATTAGGGGTTTGATTTTTAGGGAAAAGGTTATTTTAAATTAATTTTGGAATGTTTCCTGAGTTGGGAGCCCAGAGCTTGAACAAGTCCTGAAAAAGAATACTTAAGAACCAGGCGTTGCCCGTGGAACAAAAAATGTTGGAAAATTTTACAACCTTAAACACCCCACGGCCACCCATGAGTAACCCCAAAAAATCCAGCACATTCGGTCCAGCTGTTTTGCCGACTATAGGCAACATATATATATATATATATGAATGTCTTGTTTTATAATATAGATTTTGTTCGTCTCTCTGTCTGTTTGTATCCATTAAACGTCACAACGGCTGAACCGAATGGGCCCAAATCACACGGCCTCAGGGAATGTTGATTTGAAAAACGTTGCCCGATATTTATTTTAATGAACATGTAACAATTTATACAGAAAATTCTTTGAAATTATTAGATTTATGATTTACAGAGACAAAAAAAGAGAATCAACCATGGAATAACAGTTAACCATACAATTTTAGATTTTATTATTATATTTTAAAACGAATAAATTATGTAATATCTTAATATTAGAATATTTCATTATTCTATCATTCTGAAATTCTTATTTTTTGATATTTAGCTATTTTGATATTCTTATATCCTTATATTTTGATTGTCTAGATTCTCATATTCTAATATATCTAACTTCAGAAGATTATTTCACTTTATTTATAACAAGCAATGCATTTATTGGATATTATATTTAGTAGTCATGTTTTATGGGGCACACTGTATACTGTACCTATGGGGCACACTGTATACTGTACCTATGGGACACACTGTATACTGTACCTATGGGACACACTGTATACTGTACCTATGGTAGTTGTAGATTTCCCCTCCCCCAAGGGCGTTGGTGTTATCCCAGCAACCACAATATATTTTCCATTTTTTCTTAAAACGAAATTATTTTAATATCCTAAGAAAAATCTGTTTAAATGAGATTTTAAACCTGTTTTTCAATCGATCAATAGTAGCGAGGGATATCTTAGCCTTCTTTTTCCCGTAGAGGTCGACCTCGGAGGGGAGAAGGCCGATCTCCTTGGCCAACAGGTTGATGTCCTTGGGAGTTTGTGCGCGGGCAACCTTAGCAAATAATAATATGATTATTCTTTGACAAAGTTAAAAGACAAAGCTCTTAATGGCACCGTTTGAATCGGACATGCCACCTCATAAAAATGGAGCGTCACTTGAAACATAGTCTACAGTGTAGACTGTAGACTGTAGAGGATGAAAATCCCCGAAATGGGATTATAAAATCCGCAAGTGAGTAGATGCAATAAATGTACTTCTAAAACAGCCCCTTTCAGAGGAGCAACACATCTTAGCTAATCATTTCTCATGTTAAGTCTCCAATTTACCAAAAGATCTCAGCAAACAAAACTTCACTGATGCCAAAAGTCAAGATTTTGTAAATAAAAAATCGACTTTTGTTTGCTGTTTGGGTTTTACCTCTATATCGGAGGGAACCTTCTCCAGAAGTTTGAGGGGTAGAAGAGACAAATTCCAAGTTGTTTTCTTGTTCTCTATATAGCACCTGAAATATGGGAGTTTTCAAACTTTTGAATAGCTACAAAAATTACTTAATCAACATCTTTCTTGGTCCTGAAATTTTACAAAATTGGAGATCATAGAATAATTAAGTCATGGATTAAGCACTTAATCACTTCAAATTGATAGTTAGTACTATGATTCGTTGAGGTGTTAAAACTATTAAGAATTAAAGGGACTGTAAGCGTAGTTTTAAGTGACCTTTCATTTAAAGAGGAACAACCCCTATTCACAACGGTAGCCTTTAAATCTTTGACTGATCAACAAAGACGAAGAACTCTGTGTATATTTTCCTTGAGATAGGCTTCTAGTCTCTTTAACAGTAATCAACCAACCCTTTTAACAGGTCCTACAGTAAATAAACTAACCTTATAGCAGACTTTACAGGTCCTACAGTAAATAAACTAACCTTATAGCAGACTTTACAGGTCCTACAGTAAATAAACTAACCTTATAGCAGACTTTACAGGTCCTACAGTAAATAAACTAACCTTATAGCAGACTTTACAGTGTTGGACATTAGCATACTTACAGTCATTGGTCCCACACCACCTAACAATATTTAAATATTAAATCATGATTTATTAGTTAACTAATTAATCCCGAAAAAAAAGACATTTGACAGACGACTGAGAAGTGTGTAGCAAATGTGGATCAAATAAAGTATGGAGGACTTATTAAATGTGCAAGATTCGCATGTTTTATATACAACTTTTGTCATGAGAAACTATCAAAGATTAAAGATAATCTTTAAGTTTGAGATAAAATGAAAAATAGAAATGTTATAAATATAAAGTGAAATATTATTTTAAATCTTATTTACTTGGATCTGGGGTAATACACCTAGTATACATGGAACTAGAATAATTAACCCAGTATACTTTATTTACTTGGAAATGGGATAATAAACCTAGTCTATTTTATTTACCTGTAACTGGGGTAATACTTTATTTACTTGAAACTATGAGTAATAAACCCAGTATACTTTATTAACATGGAAATGGGATAGTAAACATATGTAGTATATTTTATTTACCTGGGGTAATAAACCTAGCATACTTTATTAACCTGGAACGGGGGTAATAAACCTAGTATACTTTATTTACTTGGAACTATGAGTAATAAACTCAGTATACTTTACTAACATGGAACGGGGGTAATAAACCTAGTATACTTTATTAACCTGGAACGGGGGTAATAAAACCAGCAACTTGAGAGGCTTCATTAAAATCCACATCACCCACCTAAAAAAGTTGTTTGACATATCTATGCACATTGAGAATCAGAAAACCGTGGAATAGGCTGACGACATTAATTATATTTGATGTTTCTACAAAGCAAATAGTTATACAAGAACTTATTAAATCATTTATAGTAACACTGCACAATTGATGTGTTTCATGTTCATAGGGTTATTTATAGTCAAAACTTGAGTCTAAAAGTCATCTTTCCTTTCAACATTGTGATGGTTCTCATGCAACTTCTTAGTAATCCATAATAATAGAAAAACTAATAGTAAAATATGGTTTTACGCAGGACTTACATTCTGAAGTATATTTACATATTTTTAAGTACAGGGTGTCTCATGAAACATGATGTCTTCTTCCATAATTTGTTTAGTTGTTTCGATACCAAATGAAATGATAAAACATGTTATATGGCAGACATATTATTGTAAAATTAATTTTTAAGTTGAATATATTTGAGTAAAAAAATGTTAAACGAAATGAATTCTGCAAAAAGCCTTTAAGTTTAATAACCAATCGAGTATTGAAGAAGACATTCAAAATTATTCACTAACTGACATGTTTTTTGGGACAAACTGCAGTTTAATGCAATTATTAGTTTATTTTATGTCTAAACGCAAAAAGTAAGAAAAGGGACTGTAAACCTAATTTCAAGTGACCCTCCATGCAAAAATGGAAATGTCCGATTTTCAACGGTACCCTTGAAAACTTTGTCTGATCGAGTATGAATTAAATAGCCATGTTTTCGTTTCTGTTTATTTTCATTTGCGGGTTCTCTGTAAAAGTGACATCCGCATTTGTTGCTTAAAAGAAGTAGTCGCAAAATTTTCAGAATTAAACACTTTTTGAGCACGGAAAACGATTACAGTGATGACCAGAAAACTCTAAAATAGGAATAAGACTGTATAGTGATACCTTAGTGTAATTGATGGTGTTACAAAGCAAATAAGTTTACTAGACACTTAAAAAATCCCTAAATAAGTGAGATGTGCCTGATTACACTGCACAATTTCTGTGTCTCCTGCTTATTGGACTATTTAAGGTCATAACTTGAGTGAAAAAGGTCGTCTTCCTATTTCAGAGCTTTCTGGTTTTCACTGTACCATTTAAAATCGGGCATTGCCATCTTTGCATGGATGGATACTTGAAATTACGCTTATAGTCCCTTTAATGGCATAAAATAGGTTACAATAGTTCGATGAGAAAACATATTTCCTCTGTGAGTGTGACACTCAACTACGCAGAAAGAGATTGTCAAATTTATGAAACATTACTTGTATGACATTGTGACAAAGTAGCTACCCTAGTTTTGACTTTGGTCCCAAATATTGGAATAACAAACTTCAAATTTCTTCTCAAATGATCTTCAATAAGAGGAGTTGTGAATGAAAAGGTTTAAATCACGTTAAACTAAAGTAAATTGTAAGTGAGGTTTAATCACGTTAAACTAAAGAGAATTGTAACGGAGGTTTAATCACGTTAAACTAAAGTAAATTGTAAGTGAGGTTTAATCACGCTAAACTAAAGTAAATTGTATAAAGTGAGGTTTAATCACGCTAAACTAAAGTAAATTGTAAGTGAGGTTTAATCACGTTAAACTAAAGTAAATTGTAACTGAGGTGTAATCACGTTAAATTAAAGTAAATTGTAACTGAGGTTTAATCACGTTAAACTAAAGTAAATTGCAAGTGAGGTTTAATCACGTTAAACTAAAGTAAATTGTAACTGAGGTTTAATCACGTAAACTAAAGTAAATTGTAAGTGAGGTTTAATCACGTTAAGCTAAAGTAAATTGTAAGTGAGGTTTAATCACGTTAAACTAAAGTAAATTGTAAGTGAGGTTTAATCACGTTAAGCTAAAGTAAATTGTAACTGAGGTTTAATCACGTTAAACTAAAGTATGTTTATGTTTTCATATTGTGGTAGAGCTAATGAGAAGAACAAAAATGTTTCGAATTTTTAAAATGTACTCAGAATGTTTGGCTTTTTTTTATACTTTTGCATGAAATCAAAACTTGGAGGTAGCATTGTCGTAACAGTAATGTCCCATACATTTGACCTTCTCCTTCTGGTAAGTTTTCTGCGTAATATAGAATTTTACTTTATTACGGCGTGCTTTGACTTCATCACTATTCATTGGTTATATGTCTATTTTTCTATTTGTTAATTTTTATATCGTCACCATTGTATTGATACATAAGCCTATCATTAAAGCTAGAGCAACTATTCAGCAAAGTATGCATGATTTGATTTGATAAGATAAAGTTTAAACAAAATTCCAAAATATGGAAATTTTAAAAGAAAAAACATGACAGATCCACATCTTGTGACTAAGGTTTCATAAAAAATATTGCTAAAAGCAGGTTGCCAATTGAATGCCGCAAACTATGCTTAAGGTTAAAGACGACTTCAAATCTCCAATCTTTAATGATTTACCAGCCTTTGCCCAGATTTCTTGGTTGGGTCAGGTATAGAGTTTATCCCGCAGTCAATCACTACTGCACCAGGCTTTATCCAAGACCCCTGTATTATTATTATTATTATCGTTATTATTGTCATTTTTTATTGTTATTATTATTATTAACTATAATTATTATTATTATCATATGTATGATTTTTAATTTCTATAAAATATCATTATTTTTATGAGTATCATTTTTTTAATCATTACCTTGACCAGTAAAGGTTGCCCGACAGCGACAACTAGAATATCGGCCAGACGACAAATTCCAGCCAAATCTTTAGTCCTAAATATATATCCAGATTTTTAGTTCTAAATATATCATGATTTTTAGCCCTAAAGATATCCAGAACTTTAGTCCTAAATATATCCAGATCTTTAGTTATGTTTATTTCTAAATATATCCAGATCTTTAGTCCTAAATATATCCATATTTTTAGTTCTAAATATATCCAGATCTTTAGTTCTAAATTTATCCAGATTTTTACTTTTTAATATATCAAGATCTTTAGTCCTAAATATATACAGATATTTACTTCTAAATATATCCAGATCTTTTATTCTAAATATATCCAGATCTTTAGTTTCAAATATATCCAGATCTTTTATTCGAAATATATCCAGATCTTTAGTTCTAAATATATCCAGATCTTTATTCCTAAATATATCCAGATCTTTAGTTCTAAATTGTTCCAAATATATACATATTTTTAGTTTTAAATATATCCAGATCTTTAGACCTAAATATATCCAGATCTTTAGTCCTAAATATATCCAGATCTTTAGTCCTAATTTTTCCAGATCTTTAGTCCTAAATATATTCATATCTTTAGTTCCAAATATATCCATATCTTTAGTCCTAAATACATCCATATCTTTAGATCCAAACATATCCAGATCTTTAGTTCCAAATATATCCAGATCTTTAGTTCCAAATATATCTATTTCTAGTTCCAAATATATCCATATCTTTAGTTCCAAATATAGCCATATCTTTAGTTCCAAATGTTTCCAGATCTTTAGTTCCAAATATATCCATATCTTTAGTTAGGATTAACTGGAACCCCTGTCATACTTACCCTTTCTTAATGAACTATATGTTTTTTTTCGGGGGGGGGAGGGGTGAAAAATAAACATCAATGGGGAAAAATATTTTTGAAGTTGGAGGTCAATACACCTCTGACTCTGAGGTACCACTTTATCTATTTAGAGCCGTGAAATAACAATCTTTGCAGAAAATTGCTTCGACACTTTCACTTGTTTGAAAGGGACTATTCACTTATTTCAAGAAATCTACAAATACTACTAAAATTTTCACATAATTTTCTGAATGACAACTCTATTAAGGCTATCTTGCTGCAAGATTATTATACAGGGTACAAAATACAGGATGCAGAGTACAGAGTACAGAGTATAAGATCAATTTACAGTATTAATAAAATTTAAATTGAGTTTTGGTGAGAAAAAAATACCTTTGACAAACTGCAACTTTCTGTAATTATTAATATCATCATATTTTCATGACATAAATAAAAATCACTTGGAAGTTTAACTTCTAAGGTCCTATAGGGAATTATGATTTATATGATGAATTTGTGCAGGCGTCTGTTTAAAAATAGGGTTCAATTTAGAAGGTTTCTTGGACCGATTTCTAAGAATTATGTTGTCCTTGTTTTTTTTGCGCATTTAAGGGTGATACGTGCAGACACGTAGTAAATGTGCAATTTCCTGTAATTTGAAATTATTTTTTCAATTTTTTAAAGTAAATATTTTCAAGCTGCATGGTTCAAAGTTTGAATTCAAAATGCAAAAACTAAATTGGCTAGATGAAAAATAAATGTTTCTTCACCTGATTTACCAGGTATTTTTTGTAAAAACATATGTAAACTGTATTTTTGTTGCATTGCATATTTTATTTTTTATTTGTATTTTTATTGCATGTATAACCAAGGAGTCTGATTAGAAGGGAGATACAACTGACGCGGCCCGCCCTTCCATATGATTACACATGCTTTGCAGACGGGTACTCCATTTGTATAAGAAATATTCAGAATAGCTTATTGTATCCGCTGTAATCGATCAGACAAATATTTCTTATACAAATGATGTACTGTCTGCAAAGCATGTATAATCACATGGTAGGGCGGGCCGCCTCAGTTATTTCATACTTCTTGTGTATAACTCTTAGTTCGCGAGAAATTAAACATTTGTGCATTTTCTTGCGATGAATTAAAATTAATATTTCAAAAATTCTCAATCAACGTCAACAAACGATAGAAATGCAAATTATGCAGAATCCCTGTTTTTATTTTGAAAACGCTCACTTTAAAGTAAAGAAATAATTCTAAATAATTTTAATATATTTAATCTAACCTGCTATGGCAAACCGTTACAGTGGCATTGTTCCATTTCAGTAGCTCTGCGACCGGAGTACCTACAATCTTGCTCCGTCCTAACACAACAGCATGGGCTCCAGATACCTAGATACACAAGGTTCTATACTCCTACTCTGTCCTACTACAGTATTAGCTCCAGATACCTAGAAACACAAGGTTCTATACTCCTACTCTGTCCTACTACAGTATTAGCTCCAGATACCTAGATATACAAGGTTCTATACTCCTACTCCACAGTATTAGCTCCAGATACCTAGAAACACAAGGTTCTATACTCCTACTCTGTCCTACTACAGTATTAGCTCCAGATACCTAGATACACAAGGTTCTATACTCCTACTTTGTCCTACTACAGTAGTATTAGCTCCAGATACCTAGATACAAGGTTCTATACTCCTACTCTGTCCTACAACAACAGCATGAACTCCAATTACATAGAAATAAGGTTCATCACTTCTACTACACCATGAATTCTAGATAAGTCCCCCCCCCCCCCTATCTATTGAAAAATTTACCTCAACTTTAGATTTCTTGATGAGTTGGAGACACCCTGCTGGAGTACAGGGTAGGAATCCAGTACATAGATCTCCAGTAGTTAGTCTACCCTGGTTAATTGTACTCAATCCATCTACATCCTAGAATACATGAATATCCTAGAGTATATAAATATCCTAAAGTCCATGAATATCCTTAAATATCTGAATATTCTAGATTAAATGAATATCCTAGAGTACATGAATACCTAGAGTTCATAAATACCCTAGAGTACATGAATATCCTAGCGTACATGAATATCCTAGTAAACATGAACACCCTAGAGGACATAAATACCCTAGAGTACATGAATACCCTTGAGTACATAAATACCATATAGTACATGAATATCCTAGAATACATGAATACTCGAAGAATACATAAACATCCTACAATACCTGAATACTCTAGAATACATGAATATCCTAGAATACATGAATACTCTAGAATACATGAATATCCTAGAATACATGAATTCTGTAGAATACATGAATACTCTAGAATACATGAATACTCTAGAATACATACTCTAGAATACATGAATACTCTAGAATACATAAATATCCTAGAGTACATGAATACTCTAGAATACATGAATATCCTAGAGTACATGAATACCCTAGAGTACAGTAATATCCTAGAATACNGGGGGGGGGGGGGGTATATGATTTCGTGGATACATGTACTAACACAACACGAGGTTAAGAAAATGACTGACTTTGTTTAAAGCTTCGGTCCTATTCTGTTATACAGGTTGTCGGAGCCCTAAGTTTGATAGCATTGCTTCCAGAAGGTGGAAATTTAAGAGAGTGTTGAATAAAAATTTCCTTGGAGCCTATACAGTATACATTTGTGCAGATTTCACGTAAGGATTAGAAAATAATGATATTTAATATGAAAAATATTTTGAAGAAAAAAATTGATAACTACGAAATTGTCATAACCCATTTAGGAAACCCAGGTTCCGAAACAGGGTTTCATGACGATACACACAATTTGGGGCTGCAGCACTGTACACAATATGCATATATTCCTAGTGTAGTTCCTTTCTACGTAATATGTCTATACTAATGTTTAACAACTAACGTGTTTGTCTATATCTAATATCTAACATATTATGCGTCCAAATCTAATGTGACGTTTAAGTCTAATGTGTGTGTGTGTGTTTGATTTCTTACATCTTACTTATGTAATGCTTATATATATGTAAATATATTCAAACATCTTATATATATATGTAAATATATTCAAACATCTGATATATATATATATTTAAATATATTCAAACATCTAATATTTATATGTGAATATATTCAAACATCTAATATATATATATTTATGTAAATATATTCAAACATCTAAAATATATATGTAAATATATTCAAACATCTAATATATATATGTTTGTCTAATGCTTCCATAATAATGTCTAAAACCCATAAATGGTGTTTCTTTAATGACGAGTGGCGACCTAAAAATCTTAAACTGTGACGATCTGCTATAGGTTAAATTTAAACTTATTCGTTGGATTTTTTGTCTTATTATTATACATCAATTTATATATCATTAAAAATACCTTGGCTGGGGAAACAGAGTCCGTGATGAGATTTGAATCAATTGAGGTCTCGCAATCCAGTGGCATCTAGATCAAATAATCAATTCATAGACAATCAAATGATCAAAATATTAAATGACGAATATAGTTACCATGTAGCCATAGTAAAGGATTCAATTATAATCATGATCAATTCATTAAGTGAGTATGAATAAATTGATTAGATCATGATTTACAAGATCAATTCATTAAGTGAGCATGAATGAATTGATTGGATCATGATTTACAAGATCAATTCATTAAGTGAGCATGAATTAATTGATTAGATGATGATTTACAAGATCAATTCATTAAGTGAGCATGAATGAATTGATTGGATCATGATTTACAAGATCAATTTATTAAGTGAGCATGATTGAATTGATTAGATCATGATTTACAAGATCAATTGAGCAAAATATGCAACGACAAAACTAAATGACCCTGTTTATAATTAACCATGTGTATTGGAACACCCTGTATTAAAATGAACCATGTTAAGCGAAACATCCTGTATAAAATAAACGATATTTAGTGGATCATCCTGTATAAAATAAACCATATTTAGTGGATCACCCTGTATCAAAATGAAGCATATTTAGTGGATCACCCTGTATAAAATAATACCATATTAAGAGGGACACCCTGTATAAAAAGAACCTGAACAATAATCCCATGGACTGTAGGATCCTCATTTAGCTTCTTAATCTCAAGTAGCAGTTCCTTAACAGTAAAAAAGGGAGATTGCAATGGTTACATCTTGAGTCACTGATTTAGGGAGATTGCAATGTTAAATTGTTTAACTTTGTCCGAAGAAATTGCAATGTTAACATGTTCAGTTATAGTCTAGTTATATTTTATAATGTTAACTGTCAATTTTCTGGGGAGATTGCAATGTGTACCTGTTGAGTCACTGATCTAGGGAGATTGCAATGCGTAGCTTTCATACCAATCTCCTCTGCCGCCTAGAATTCTTCTTTAAATATTTGAATTTTCACTAAATCTAATTTTCTGTGTAAATGTTTGATTTTTCCTCTTTAACAGCTCGATTTTCATAAAAATATTCATTATTTCATTAAGGTTTTTTTATTTCAGTTCATTTTTTCTTTCATTTTTCTCATTCAAACGTTATTTTATTTAAATGTTCGACTTTTCCTTTAATTGTTAGTTTATCTTGAAAATGTTCATTTTTCATTTAAATCCTGTGGATGATCGTGTTTCCTTTATATTTTAAAATTTCTTTGAATGTTTATACTTTCCTTTAAATATTCGTCCTTTCCATTCATTGTTTGTTTAAAGGGAGTGTTCGCGAAAAAATGGAAGTGGTATAGGCAGATCCCAGATAGAATTTTACTTCTATTTGATGCAAAGCGTATCATAATCTTTTTTAAATTTGGCATTAAGCGTTTTTAAAAATTATCTCTTTATAGACTTTTGCATATTCATCAACATATTTTTATTATCTCAAGATGAAATTTAGATTAAAATGTCGGTACGCCAGAGTTTAGAATATTTATATGATCTATGAATACTACTTACCTTCACTTTCATTCTGATATAAACATTGCTATCCTCCCTTCCACCAACCTGAAATAGGAACCAATTAAAGGGACCGTATATGCAACTTGCTAGAGACCCTCCAATCAAAAGAGTTGCATGTTCGACTTACAACGGTAATTTTTTGATAATCGATTATCTATCTAATAAATATTATAAAATGTTATCCGACTCCAGACACAAGATTCAGCGTAGATCATATTTTGGAAAATTATCAAGTGATCTTACAACATTCGATTACTTATAGAGTATGCTGTATTTTGTGCCACCTTGAAGCGTTCTTAATTTGAGTCCTCAATGTTGTAACATAATTTTATATGTTGGGTCGAAGTTACGTTTATCTTTTTAAAAAATCATTTACCCGACTCTTCTTAATTTTTCTGCTTTATTCTGGAGTTCGTTAACAGATCCATTTTACATGAAAGAAAACTATTTGCTTTAAAACAACATCGAATACACTGAAGTATTGCTGTAATGTCGTCTTCTACAGTTTTCTGGATCCTTCACATATGTATTATTGATAGTAAATTGTGTCATCTTGTTTTGCGTCTATTTGGGTATTTACATCCCCGTACGCAAACTGGTTTCAAGGCTATCCTGCCTTCTACCTTTTCCAGGCAGTTTCCAAGCAGTATCAATCAGTCAGGCAGTGAGCAGTCAAGCAGTTTTTAAAGTTTTATACTTACTCGTTTCATTAGAATATAGAGATCTTTTAAGAAACTTAGAAAATTTGGAAAATGGAAGGTATTAAATATTATTCAACTGTGTGAGAAGTAATTATTAGTTTTACAAAATAAGATCTAATTATCTTATTATGTAATAATCTGATTATCTGATTATCTGATTATCTAATAATCTAATAATCTAATAATCTAATAATCTAATAATCTAATAATCTAATAATCTAATAATCTAATAATCTAATTATTTAATTATTTAATTATCTTATTATCAGACTAGCCGATTATCTGATTATCTGATTATCTGATTATCCTGTTTTCTGATTATCAATTATCTGATTATCAATTATCTGATTATCTGATTTTCTAATAATCTGATTATCTAATCATCTGAATATCTAATAATCTAATAATCTAATTATCTAATTATCTAATTATCCAATTATCTCTGATCATCTATTTATCTTTTTATCTAATCATCTAATTATTTGGTTATCTTATTATCTAATTATCTAATTAATTATTTAATCATCTATAGATATCATTATCTTATTTTCTCATTATCTAACTATATTTAACCATCTGATTGTCTAATTAACTAATATTATAAAGAAAAAATTGTTAAAATATCTAATTTTCTAATATATTTAAGAATTGAGTCCTCTAAGAGGAGGATTAGAAGAATTGGAAGAGGATATTCTAGCATACAAGGATATTATCAATTATTTAATAAACCAGTTTAGAAGAATTGGAAGAGTATATTCTAGCATACAAGGATATTATCAATTATTTAATAAACCAGTTTTTAACAAAATTAGAAGAATTGGAAGAGTATATTCTAGCATACAAGGATATTATCAATTATTTAATAAACCAGTTTTTAACAAAATTAGAAGAATTGGAAGAGTATATTCTAGCATACAAGGATATTATTTATTATTTAATAAACCAGTTTTTAACAAAATTAGAAGAATTGGAAGAGGGTATTCTAGCATACAAGGATATTATCAATTATTTAATAAACCAGTTTTTAACAAAATTTCTTGTATGAAAAATTGTGTTTGCCTTGTATTGCGGGTTTTTGTTTGTTTGTTTGCTTGTTTGTTTCAAATAAACAATAAAACGACTGAACTTATGGGTAAAATAGAAATTGTGTGTTTACCACTAACCCAAACTGTATAATCCCAATAATCCCTTTGCAATCTAATGGTGTAAAGAATTAATATGCCAAACTTACTCTATTTGCTCTAACAGACCATATAGTTTAAAATATCGAAGGTTTACGACATCGGGTTGCAAAGATATAGGGATTAGCAAATCAAAGCTTATGGCAAAAACTCAATTCTTTTTTTGTAGGACCTTTCATGACCCGGCCCAATGAAGGTTTATGGACGTTCGAATTAAAAGATGTCTCCTCAAAAAATATAATTTGAAAATCCATCAATAAAAACAGAGTAATCTCCCAAATTAGATATTATTAAAAACATTTACGAAAAACCATGAAAATATTAACGTTACTAAAATCAGGGACATGAAGCAGGATGCAGGGTGTCCCACAAAACATGACAGTTGGTGAATAGTTAAAAATGTCTTCTTCTATAATTTGTCAAGTTGTAATTGATACCAAAAAGAATAATAAAAATATAACATGACATGGCATTCATATTACAATAAAATGGATTTCAAAGTAATATATATTTGAGTACAAGTTTTTAAAAGAAATAAACTGCAAAAAGTCTTTAATATCTAATACATTATACGGAAGATGACATCACGCACCTCTGACCCTTTAGTAAAAGTAAATTTAACCGAAAGTCTGACCGCGTCAACCTTGTTGCATCGGCTAGTTCTATTGAGTGTCTGCTTTATTTACAAAATGTCCGGGCGATACAGTACAAACTGGGACCAGAAAGGTTGACCCGGCTCGGAAATTTAAATGTACTAGGGCTGGCCGTGACATTTTGAACTATTCACCAACTTTCATGTTTCGTGGGACACACTGTAGCTTTGTAGATAATAAAGGATGCAAACAGAGGATGGATACAGAATGAATGGATACAGAATGAATGAATCAACAATTAAATGAATACATTTTGAATTAATGTAAAGTTAATGATTGAATAGTATTCACTGATTCACTCAATAATCTGCATTCAATGAATACAAGGACTAGAAAGATAAAAGCTAATTGATAATTCAGGAGAATCTTTCTAAGCTAAAATCTCTTGGAGGAGCTGTAGGAAAGAAGACGATTTTCAATAAAAATTATTCTTTTTAATTAATTAATTTTCTTTCTTTCAAGTGCAAATGGAGAAATACTGCCTCAAAAAATGATTACAGGGGGTAACACCTCGTTAAAGTTTTAAAAACTGCTAGTTTTCAAATTGGAGTGACTTGCGCATTTCTACAACAAGAAAACATATAGGAATTATCAAAAATAAACTTTTTAAAACCTAGAAAAACAACAATATTTTCCACAGTTGCATAGATGGTCACATGAAATTCCTTATTCCGAAGTTGAATTTATGAATCACTAAAATCAACTCCATCTAGTGCTAAAATGGGGAACTAAAGATCGACAAGAAATGCAGGAAACCAGGAACAACATGCAGACAGAAAACAGAAAATTGGAAGAAGACATCCGGTACAAAATTGGAAAGAATAAAATCATGTTTTTACTCGTATTCATTTTTTTAGGAAAAAAATTGACACCCTCTGGAACCATAATGAAGGATTGGGAAACGATGCAGCAGCTTTTATGAGGACAGCTTTACTTGAAGCTAGACAAATAGAGATCGATTATATTCAAAAGGTAATTTGGTAGCCACAGACCTGGACTTGGACTTGGACTTGGACTTGGACTTGGACTTGGACTTGATTATCTATGGAAAAACAAAAAACTTTTCAGGGATAAAAATAAAACCTATTTATGATTATTTAACATAATTACCCCCCCCCCCTTCCTATCTGATAAAAACTGAAATAATACGCAGTAATAATAAGCAGTAACAATTTTTCTGACATGTTGACTGTTTGCAGGTCCAAGAACAACTGATAAAGCTTTTAAAAAGCTTGGGTGTTATTACAACCAGAGAATATGTTGAAGCTGTTGAGGATATTGGAATGCTAAAACCAGGTAATACTCATTTTTTTATTTCTATTTTAATAACTAGAGACAAAGAAATCATGATTTTTTAAAGGGCCTTTAAGTGTAATTTCAGGTGACCATCTTTAAAAAGATTCTGAATTCTAAATTCTGAAAATTCTCATTTGTTTTCCGTCAGTAGAAATGCGAAAGTCATTTTGATAGAGAAACTACAAAATCATAAACATTGGTGAAAATCAATATATGTTCAGACAACGCTTTTAAGAGTACTTTAGTGAATTAGGCATTACAATCTATCGATGAAGGATCACTTAAAAATACGCTTATAGTCCCTTAACAGGAATTGATTGAAAATTATTCCCATATCAAATGGTTCTAAGATATCCCCGACGTCCTGTGTCAATGATATTTTTCTACAAAGTTATCATTTTTGCCAAAAACTTTAGAATTTCGTAGATTTAATTGATTTAAAGAGTTCAATCTAGAGTTCACAAGAAACAAATTAACTAATTTTGTGTATCCATTAAATCTGACCTTAGGGTACAGTGTAACCCACAAAGATTTGAAGATTGAATTAAATCTTTCGGTTTAACCCTATTCCTGCTGGGGGGGGGGGTCAATTTGACCCCCCCCCTGTAGTTTTTTTTACATAACTCAAAAAGTATTGGTCTGAGGCTGTCGAAATTTTCTGACTTTTCCTACATACCCAAAGCCATCCCATTAGGCCTAAAACCGGGCTTTAATACTAACTGCCTGAGTCCTCAGGCACACTGCCTGAATGACTGCTTTTTCCTGTAACAAACTAAATCTTTGTTTTGACCCACTTCCACTTGTCAGATTTTGATAAAATTTTGCTTTTTGGAAAGCCTTTGACATAAGGAAACGAATTGCACAAGTTGCGAAAAAATTGCAATTTTTTTGCAAACAAGCTGTCAAAGGAAATTTGCACATTTTTAGTTTTTCTTGATTAAAAATCAGGTTATTTAAAATTTTGCAAAATTTTTTGCATATTTGAAATGGCATGGTTAAGGGCTTTTCAAAAATGTATAATTTTTCATTTTTTGGACAAATTTTTTTTGCAAACATTGTTACTATATAACTGAATTTTGCGATAAAAAATTCAAAATTTGCAAATTTGCAAATTTTTTTGCAGATTCTAAAAATAAAGCACAAGAGCTTTCCAATGATGTATCATTTGTCATATTTGGAAATCAAACATGGGATTTAGAGGGGGGGGGGTCAAATTGACCCCCCCCCAGCATATCCTGGTTTTCAAGTACCCCAGCTGAGATAGGGTTAAAAAAGTTTTTAAAAAATCAAATGAATTAAAGAAAAAAACATTTTTACAGCTACAGGGAAATGTGCAGTTGAAATAGTGACTTAATAATTTCCGTCAGTCGTCTCTGCAATCTGATTTTTTGTCCACCTGTAAATAATCTACTAAATAATAAAATATTTGTTTAGAAAATGTTGAAGATAAGGATTGGAACCAAGTTGAAGAAAGAAGACAAGGAATAGATAGTTTAACAAATAACAATACAGACAAAGTTCCAGGGATTTTAATTAGAAACGATGCCTTTTAAAACTTTTATTTGATCATTGTTGTTAAAGATATCATCGGTTTTTTTTGGTAGTTTAAAAACTGTTTAATTCTGACAGCTTCCTAAATTATTTCTGTAGTCAATTTTTAAAGAGAAGCCACCAAAATAATCCAGTTTAATATTTTTTAAATTCATTAATTCTTAATCACAAAAGAATTTTAAGAGATGAGTTGTGAATCGGACATGCCACTCTATTAAATAAAAAAGTAACTTAAAATTATATACAGTGATATTCAGAAAACTCTAAAAAAGAAAGACGACTTTTTGAATCAAGTTATAATTTTAAAAAATCCAATGAGCATGAGACACAGCAATTGCATGTGCAGTGTAAAGATACATACACACATCTAAATTTGTGATTTAAAAAGTATCTAGTAAAACTATTTGCGTTGTAACATCATCTATACACTTAAGTATTGCTATAATGTCGTCTTCCTATTTAATTGTTTTCTGGTTATCACTGTATACAGTCTCTTAAAGCAGGGTTTAATTGGTTACTACCTACCAACAAAGGATGATACTTTATCAGACTCATTATGTATAATGTATTATTGGACATCTTTTATAAAAAATACCTCATGGTACGTTTTATTACAGTTCTAGAAAGTTCTATTACCGTTCAAGTACAAGTTATGTTAAATTCCTATAGAGATCGTTTTCAGTGGTCAAAAAACTATTTACTAGAAACAAATTGATTTCGTATTTTATTTTTGAAACATTTTTGTTTTGCTATAAATATTCAATTTATATGTCATATGCATTTTGATTAACAGATAAAAACTGGTTTTTATAATCCTGAATTATCTAGATTCAGAAGGGGTATACACTATACATACATTTTAGAGGGGGGGGGGATTTTAAAGATGGGGGGGGGGTGTTTCAATTGAACATCAACTGCGAATTTTGTTCGCCTTTTTACTGACAACCTAATTATTTGCACTGAGAAAAAAACTATTTTTAAGGAAAGGGGGAGGTGGTTTAAGATTTTCCCAGGGTTCTGAAAGCATGTTAGAACTATCTATTCAAAGAACTGGGAAGTTTGGATAAAACTTTAATTATTCTTGGTGAAACCTTGATCAGTCTTGAGAGAGGAAACCCAAAATCAAAGGTAATATATTTTATTATTTTAGATTACAAGAAAATTATAAAAATGGAGGGAGAAAAGTTAAGGGATGCTTAAAATGCGAAAAAAAAATATTTTTTGGGTATTATGGGCCCAGATTGGATGAATGTATTACTTTAAGAATATACGCCGAAATAATTTCTTTCCTTAGATAATTTTTAAAATGTTTAGGTCTTTTTAAAATGGTCACTTTATTTTGTACTATGAATATTGTATACAATAAAGTTTCTAAAATTCTTTAATTAACAGTATTTTCGACGAAAGACTTAAATTAAGTTTTAGAAAATAGAAAAATTCAATAGAAAAATTATGTTTTTAAACTTAAATTCATTTTTCTTTTATAACTGGTATTTTCTCTTATACAACAATTTGTTTGAATTTTTTACATTGCAGAAAAGCTTGTTTTTCAAATAAAATTTTAGATTACTGTAGGATTTAAAAAGTGTTTAATATTAAATTATACCACATTTGAAAAAAAAAGTTTAAATATATTTAGGTAGAGGAGTTGGACAAAAAATCCGAAACAGATCTTTGGACTTCAAAGCTTAAAGTAAAAAATATTAATCCATTAATGAAGTTAAAAATAGTTGAGGTTTTACTACAAATTCAAATTTCCTAATCCCTATATCTTTCCATCCAGATGGTATACACCTTTGATATTGCAACATAATTTAGTTTAATATATCTGAGGTCAATGTGTTGCAAAGATATAGGGATTATAAATCAGAGTTTAAGGCAAGAACTCAATTCCTTTATATTAAAATCCAACTTGAAGAAAATTACTAAGAATCAATTTAAACATATCTTCAATATAACTTTATTAATAAAACTCAAAGAAAATAAAACTTACCAAAAAAATAATTTTGCTACAGTTGGGACCTTAACTAACCTTGGAATAGGAAGAAGATGAAAACTGTCTTATTTTATTATTTACTCCAATGAAGATGAAACACAGGAATTGTTGAGTGTACACTAAGCTAATACACTTGGATTTTTTGTTTTTCTAACTACTGGTTAAACTTTATAACAATTAATACACCTACTATTATCTAAATGTCGTCTTCTTATTCTGAATTTTTTTGAGATTCATCGTACAGGATTTCTCACACAGAATAAGACTGTAAAGACGACTTGAAATTCATCAAATATAACGATTTCAAGTTCAACAAGTTTTCTGCTTTAAATATGGTATTTGAATGGCTTATTTAATGATTTGGCAAAGAAAAAAACTAAGTGTTTATAGTTGCAGGAATCATGCATATTAATAAAACTAAAAGATTAAATTCCGTACAGTCGTCTCTAGAGTCTCATCCTATGTGGGTAACCCTGTTTGTAATCTAGGTAGCTGAGAGTGTTGTTGAAACCTTTCTAGATTCTACTTTAGCTAAACATCTACAGGGCCGGAGGTTTAAAATCGTAAGTAAAGGAAATTATATAACTCGCAACAAACTCTAATTTTCTCATCATTATATCTTTATAACTTGATGGAGTAAACATTTGATATTTCATCCAGCCGAGCTCAAAGTTTAACACTGCCTATAAGCTCACAGTGTTTACAGTGAAAATTTTATAATTATTCTTGTTTTATTTTAATGTCGGTTTATGTTTACAAGTTACAAGAATATTTTATATCGGTTTATGTTTACATAATAGATGTAGAATATTTTAATGTCGGTTTATGTTTACAAGTTACATGTAGAATATTTTAATGTCGGTTTATGTTTACAAGTTACATGTAGAATATTTTAATGTCGGTTTATGCTTACAAGT